GGCCGAATGGGTTCGTTCGGATTTGAATGCTTTTTGAATCAAAATTGAACGAGTGCATTCGGAATTGATTGTATTTGAATCAAAACCGAACGGGTTCCTTTGGAATTGATTGTATTTGAATCAAAGCCGAATGGGTTCGTTCAGATTTGATTGCTTTTTGAATCAAAACTGAACGAGTGCATTCGGAATTGATTGTATTTGAATCAAAACCGAACGGGTTCCTTCGGAATTGATTGTATTTGAAGTCAAGGCCGAATGGGTTCGTTCGGATTCGATTGCTTTTTTGAATCAAAACCGAACGGGTTCCTTCGGAATTGATTGTATTTGAATTAAAACCGAATGGGTTCACTGAGACTTAACTGCTTTTGGAGCAACTGGCACCCCCTTGACCGAGTAGGGCCACTTGGGAGGCAATTTTATTTATAAGAATTTCGGAGACACATCCTTGGCCGAGTGGGGTCACTCGGGAGGGAAACCTTTTTGTGCAAATTTCGAAGGTACGTCCTTGGCCGAGTGGGATCACTCGGGAGGGAAACCTTTTTTTGCGAATTCCGAAGGTACGTCCTTGGCCGAGTGGGGCCACCCGGGAGGGAAACCTTTTTCTGCGAATTCCGAAGGTACGTCCTTGGCCGTGTGGGGTCACTCGGGAGGGAAACCTTTTTGTGCGAATTTCGAAGGTACGTCCTTGGCCGAGTGGGGTCGCTCGGGAGGAAAACCTTTTTGTGCAAATTCTGAAGGTACGTCCTTGGCCGAGTGGGGTCACTCGGGAGGAAAACCTTTTTGTGCAAATTCTGAAGGTACGTCCTTGGCCGAGTGGGGTCACTCGGGAGGGAAACCTTTTTGTGCAAATTCTGAAGGTACGTCCTTGGCCGAGTGGGGTCACTCGGGAGGGAAACCTTTTTGTGCGAATTCTGAAGGTACGTCCTTGGCCGAGTGGGGTCACTCGGGAGGGAAACCTTTTTGTAAATGAACAACTGAAGTATAGATGAGCAAAATGTGTTGAACTGTATTTCATTGATGTGTGCCTCGTTAAAAACCTTGTCGGCTAAAACCCCTTTTCACTTTTTTATAAGGGGGAAAAAACCAATCAAGGAAAAGAGTGCACCATGTGTTTACATTGTGATCATTATTACAAAGTTTAACTATAGTACGTCTTCAAATGGGACGAGTTCCATGTTCGTGGAATGACCCTGCCCGAGAGCTCTTCAAGTTTATATGCACCATTGTCGAGGTTGTGTCGAACTCGAAATGGGCCATCCCAATTAGCTGCCAACTTGCCTTCTCGCGGATTGCGTCTTGCCGACCCATGCACTCTCCACACTAAATCCCCTTCCTTGAAGTTTCTTTTGATGAGGTTAGAGTTGAACCTCCGGGTCATCCTCTATTTACATGCTTCGGCTATGATCTGAGCCCGAGCACGTACTTCGTCGACTAAATCAATTTCCGCCCGAAGGGACGTATCATTGGAATCTTCATCGAAATGTGCTCGACGAAAGGAAGGTTCTCCGACTTCGACTGGTATCATTATGTCGGTGTCGTACGTTAGTCGAAAAGGAGTCTCTTGAGTTGTAGATTGAGGTGTACATCGATATGCCCACAATACTTCTGAAAGCTCCTCGGCCCATGCCCCCTTGGCTGTCCCCAAGCGTTTCTTCAATTTCGAGAGGATAACCTTATTAGCGGCCTCGGCCTGGCCGTTTGATTGCGGGTGCTCGACTAACGTGAATCGGTGTTTGATTCCCAAGTCTTGAAGAAATTTGTTGAGCTTCTAATCGGTGAACTGAAGTCCATTGTTAGTGACGATGGCATGGGGGATGCCGAAGCGTGTGATGATGTTTTTCCAGACGAATTTTTGAACATTATTTGCTGTGATTGCCGCAAGAGGCTCGACTTCGATCCATTTTGTGAAATAATCAACCGCGACGAGCAAAAACTTGCATTGCCCCTTAGCAAGCGGAAATGGCCCCAGTATATCCATTCCCCAGAGGGCGAACGACCCTGGTGAATTAATGCTGTGCAGCTGCTCGGCTAAGGTGTGGATCAGATTGCCATGCTTTTGGCATTGAATGCATTTTTTGACGAACTTCATGCAATCTGTTTTGAGTGTCGGCCAATAATAGCCGGCCCGAAGTATCTTAGCTTTTAAAGTTCATCCTCCCGAGTGGGAACCGCAAATTCCCTCATGCACTTCTCTTAGCACGTAATCACCCTGTTCGGAATTGAGACACTTGAGTAGAGGAGATGAGAAACCTCTTCTATAAAGTTCCCCTCCCACCACTAAATAACTCGCGGCTTGAGTTCTCAACTTTTTGGTCGCCGAAGGACATGTCGGCTCGATACCTTCAGTGATCAGTCTGAGTATGTCGGTCATCCATGTTGGCGATTGCTCGGAGGCTGACAAACATTCAACAACATCGATGCTTGGGGTTGAGAGTTCCAACTGAAGGGTGGTTCGAAGCTGTCCGAGTTTCCGATTGCTGGGTTGCCAGTCGGGCCAATTGGTCAGCCCTTTCATTATTTTCACGAGGAGTGTGTTTCACCGCTACTTCATCAAAATGTTGACACATGTTTTGAAAAGTATGATAATACTTCAACAAATATGCGTCTTTAACTTGGAAATTCTCATTGACCTGCTCTGAAACAACTTTTGAATCGGTCCAACATAGCAACTTCCGAACACCCACTTCTCGAGCCAACCTCAATCCAGCTAGTAACGCCTTGTACTCGGCCTGATTATTCGAAGCTTTGAAGGCGAAACGAAGAGATTGTTCAAGTGTCAAGCCTGTTGGTCCTTCGAGGATTATCCCGGCCCCACTGCCTTGGTTATTAGACGACCCATCAACACGAATTACCCACTGATCACTTTCAAAATGTCCAATTGGTTGCAACTCATTAATGAAATCAGTCAGGCACTGTGACTTGATCAGTCCTCTTGGTTCGAACGATATGTCAAATTCAGATAATTCTACGGACCAAGCCATCACTCATCCCGCTAGCTCGGGTTTTCGTAGAACCTTGGCAATTGGACAATCGGTCCGAACGACGATTTTATGGCTGTGGAAATACTGTCGAAGACGCCGTGCCGTGTGTAACACCCCAAGCGCCATCTTCTCGAGAAGTTGGTATCGTCTTTCGGCGTCTTGTAACATCCGACTTACAAAATAGATTGGTTTTTGGGACTCTTTTTCCTGCACTAGGACGACGCTGATTGCCTCATTGGAAACACACAAATACACTACCATGTCGAGGCTTGGATCGGGTTTTGAAAGTACCGGGGGTGTGCCGAGTCGATGCTTGAGTGTCTTGAACGATTCTTCACACTCTGCTGTCCAACTGAACTTACTGGCCTTTTTCAATAATCTGATGATGGGTTTTGCCGTTTCGGCTAGGCAGGGAAGGAACCGAGAGAGAGAAGTGAGTCGTCCGGATAACACCTGGACTTCTTTAATATTATGCGGGCTTCGCATGCCGATCACCGACTGGCATTTATCCGGGTTAGCCTTAATACCCCTGACAGATAGCATGAATCCAAGAAACTTACCCCCAGCTATACCGAAGACACATTTTTCAGGGTTCAACCTCATGTCGTGCTTTCGGAGCTGCTTGAAAACTTCTACAAGATCACTTTTGTGGGTGCCGAATTCATCCGACTTGACAACCATATCGTCAACATAAACTTCCAAGTTTCTGCCAATCTGATGTCTGAAAATTTTGTCCATAAGCCGTTGGTACGTTGCCCCTGCATTCTTTAGGCCGAAAGGCATTACTCGGTAGCAGTAATTGGCCGAGTCCGTGATAAAATCTGTTTTCTCTTCATCCTGTGGGTGCATGCGTATTTGATTGTAGCCCGAATAAGCATCCAAGAAGGTCAATAAACGATGTCCCGCCGCCCCATCAACCAATCGGTCAATGTTAGGTAGTGGGTAGGCATCTTTTGGGTATGCCTTGTTAAGATTGGTATAATCTGTGCACATTTGCCATTTTCCGTTTGGCTTTTTAACCATGACTACATTTGCTAGCCATGTGGTGTACTGAACTTTCCTAATGAAGCAGGCCTGCAATAGCTTAGCTACTTCCAATTCAACGGCAGCTTTTCTCTCTGTTCCCATCTTCCTTTTTCGTTGTGCCACTGGCTTGGCGGCCGAGCAGATCGACAGTCTGTGACACATGAAGCTTGGATCTATTCCTGGCATGTCGGAAGGAGTCCAGGCAAACAAATCTTTGTTCGAGGAGATTACTTTACTCAACTCAAGCCTTTCAGCATCTGACAAACCACTGCCGATGTAGGTGACTTGAGATTTTTGTTTTTCGATTTGTATCGGGATCTTTTCTTCCATTGGTTCTGCCCTTTCATCATTCATTCATGGATCAAGATCGCATAGTGAAGTTGATTCTGGGGAAGGGGTGATCGCATAAACCCTCCTTGATTTTGCTGGTTTCTCTTGAACAGGTGGTACGCGCAAGCTTGCAAAGTAACACTCCCGAGCTGCCTTTTGATCGGCGTGTATGGTGAGAATGTTTCCTTTGGCCGATGGGAACTTCATAGCCAGATGCGGGGTTGACACAATTGCCCCCAAGGCATTCAAGGACGGCCGACCTAGCAGTATGTTATAAGATGTGTTGGCTTGGACAACAATATATTTCACCTGGATATCTCGGTGCTCCCTTTCTTCGAAGAAAAACCGAGTAGAGAGTTTAATGAATCCCTTGGTATTGACCCTTTCCCCTGCAAAATCGACCAGTGGCTCATTATAGGGGGTTAGTTCCTCTTCGGGGATGCCGAGTTGCATGAAAGTGTTCCAATATAGAATATTGGCCGAACTGCCCTGATCAATTAACGTCTTTTTCACAATACAATTGCGTATTTCTACGCTGATGACCATAGGATCATCTTGAACCGGATCAATACCTTGAAAATCCTCGTCAGTGAATGTGATGGTGGGCAATCGCCGAGTCCCTCATTGTTCAAGAGCATTCACGGATCGGACAACTCTCAAATGTCATTTTTGAGCTGATAATGTCGACCTGCCTCCGGCGAAACCTCCGGCAATCGTGTTGGTTACTCGCCGATGCGTTGTATGAGGTTCTTCCTTCCGATCCCTTGATCGGCTGCGTTCGCGACGATGCTTATCTGAACGGTCAGATCTGTCTTGTTGCCGAAGCTGGTATGTGGATTGATGTCGAGACAAGTTTGGCCGATCCACGAAATTTCTGAGCTCCCCTTGTTTAATCAAATCTTCAATTTTATCTTTCAACGTTGTGCACTCTTCGGTAGAATGCCCGCGATTGCGGTGATACCTGCAAGATTTGTTGGTATCAGCACGGGGTGGGGTTGAGGCTCTTTTTGGGACGACTAACACTTCTGATGCTAGGGCTTGTTCAAGCACAGCGGCTCGGCTTGCATTGAGTGGAGTATAATGGGAGTACTTCGGACCTCGCGCAGGTCGGTCACGTAGGGCTAACTCTTTGCCTCGCCCCCTGTATGGTTGTTCTGGTTGCTTCTCAGGTTTGCCCCCTGGTTCGGCTCGGGCCTGATTGCGGTACTCTGCCAATTCTTCCATCTGCATGTATTTATCGGCTCTCCTTCGTAGGTCATTCATGTCCGAAGGAGGTTTCTTGCAGAGGCTATTAACAAATGGTCCAGGTTTCAAAGCTGTTGTGAGATGATGGAGCGCTACAGCCGGATTAAGGTCTCGGATTTCCAAGGTTGCCTTGTTGAACCGGTCCATGAAAGTTCGAAGTGACTCCTTCTTGTCTTGCCGAAGGCTAACCAGCGACAAGGACGTCAAGATGTGAGGGCGACCCGTGGCAAACTGAATAGTAAACTGGGAGGATAGAGTGTTGAACGAGTCGATGGATTTGGGAGGGAGCCGAGTGAACCAACTCAGGGCCCTGCCTTTGAGAGATGTTGGAAAAATCTGACACAACGCGGCATCATCTATGGTGCTCAAAGTTACTTGCGTCAGAAAAACATCCAAATGTTCGTCAGGATCTGTTGTACCATCATATTTGTCAATAGGCAAAGATTTCCCATTGTCCATTAGGGAGAGTTGCATAATAGAGGGGGTGAAAGGATGTCGGTGTGATCCAATGGTTGCCACATCTGTGGGACGACCAACTGTGGGTAGGGCCGAAGGGAACTTCTCAGGTGCTGCTGCCGAGGCATGAGGGACCGAGGTGTGGATCGCTTGGGATTGATAAGACCCTTGGGTTTGCGTGTTTGCAGCTTGAGTAGGTTTCCATGACATATTATCCTTTTTAAAGGCCTCGTTTTCGGCTCTCAAGGCCGAAAGTTCTCTCGCATCCTTTTCTCGTTGTTGTTTCATTGCCTCCATCTCTCGTTTTAGCAAACGAACGGTCTCGGAGAGATCAGTTTCGTCTACTACCTCAACATGTTCTTCCTCTTCAGCCTGGTGGTCTTCCATATTCGTTCTCCTTGTTATCGCCATTACTTCACTCAGTTAATCTTCGCTGTTGTCTCGGTTCGGCCCCACGGTGGGTGCCAAATGTACCTGTCTGGAGGGCACACTAGTAATCTTCTCGTATCCTGAAGGCCGAACGAGAGTTCTTATCGAATATTTCAGTGAGGGGGTTGGTACCTGCAAAAGGCACTCCAACGCTCAAGTCAGGACAAGCACGAATATCTAGGGTAATTAATGAACAATAACGTTACCTCGTGACATGCACTAATTATACTGACATTTATGGGCCCGGATTCCCATGGGCCCTGCAACAGGATTACTAGATTAGGTAATACGCCTCTAATCGGCTTATTGGTGTGATTAGCTCTTAATCCTTGGTTATGGGTTAATCCTTGGCTCTTATTAGTAGGAATCTGAGCCTATGGATCATTTGGTGGCCGATCAGCTGTCGGCCACCTGGTTCGGCCTTTTAGGTGCCGATTGAGTGTCGGCCACCTGATTCGGCCTTTCAGGTGCCGATCGGATGTCGGTCATATGGTGGGGCCTTGCCAGTACATCCCTTATTCTTAAAAATCTAAATTGATTATTATATTTTAACATGTCAGTATTATATAATTAATCTATTATAATAATAATTTTATGTTATGATTATTGTCATTAAAGACGTCCTCTGATATGTGAATTATTTTTAACTATTTTTTTATTATTTTGTTTTATCTTTCATATTGGTATACAATAATTATATCTTTAACAACATATATGACTATAATAAATTGAGAGAGATATGTTAACTACATATTTGGTATTTAACCAATTGATCTTTAACTAATTAGTTTGATCAATAAACATGGTCACAATAAACCTGAGCCTAAGAGGAGTTCAAAGATAGATATAGAAATTGCAACATAAAATTTAAAATAAAAAAAAAGGTTGAATAAAAATGTGTTTTGACTAGTTTTTAATTGACATAAGAAGAGTTTTCATAAATGGATTCAATTTACTAAGAAGAGTGTTTGAGTAAGGGTTTTAACTTGGGCTCAAGTTTGAAGACATCAAATGTTGTCTCACACAATAGAAAGTTGTGAGGACAAATTATTCATAATTTATAAAAATTTGTTTTGACTAGTTTTTAATTGACATAAGATTAGTTTTCATAAATAGGTCCAATTTATTTGGAAGAGTGTTCGAGTAAGGAATTTAGCTTGGACTCAAGTTTGAAGACATCAAATATTTTTTGTTAAAACTCTTATTTAGTCTTTTATAATATTTTTTTGTTTCAATTTAGTCCTACTTTAATTTTTTGTTTCAATTTGGTCCCTAATAATTTAAATTATTGCAATTTGGAACTTCCGTCTAAATGATTTAAATGGAGTTAACTGTTGGCCACGTGGATGCCAAGTGGATGTCATGTAGATGCCACGTAGATACGTAGATGGACGCCAAATTTCTTGAATACACCTGGAACCAGAACGGCTCGTTCTGGTTGCACTCTAGGTGTGTTAATTTTGCAACTGGAACGGGCTGTTCCAGATGCAAAATTAACACACCAATATTGTAAATCTAGAACGGCCCGTTCTTAAACCAGAACGACGTTCTTAAACCAGAACGGTCCGTTCTGGTTTCAGAACAGTCCATTCTGATGCACTCATGGTGTGTTAAACTTACATTTGGAACGGTCCGTTTTAGTTGTAAAATTAACACATAACATGTGCAATCAAAACGGGCTGTTCTGCTTTCAGAACGGGCCGTTCTGGTTCCAAGTGTATTCATGACATTTGGCATCCCCTATACATTTACGTGGCATCCACCTGACATCCACGTGACCAACAGTTAACTCCGTTTAAATCATTTGGACGGAAGTCCCAAATTGCAATAATTTAAATTATTGGGGACCAAATTGAAACCAAAAATTAAAGTGAGACTAAATTGAAACAAAAAAAAAATATTATAAGGGACCAAATAAGAGTTTTAACCAATATTTTTTGTAGGGGTGACCACCAACCCGAGACTCAATCCAAAACCAAAAAAATTGAAAGAAAAAAAAGGTAAATAGGTGGATTCGAATAGGTTATCAATTTAGGTGGGTTAAAAAAGTGGTTTAAAATAGTTAATTTTGATCAAGCTTAGTTTGAGTTTTTGAATTTATCGATACCCAAATCCAACCATCCAAACAAAATAAAAACTAAAGTAATTATCATTTGGACTCAAATGTTGATCTTATTTTGACCTATCTTTAATTTTTATTGCTGATGCATAAAAAACTCTATTTGAGGATGAAATTTGTAACTTCTTTTTTTGTATCATATACCTAATTTTTTTAATATTTAAATTATTTGAAACTTGAATAATCTTATTCATTTTGAGTCTAAACGATATGAATAATATTTGAATGATTGAGTGTATAAAAAAGGATACAAAATTAAAAATAAAGAGATAATAAATTAGATAAAAAGTTTTATTTGGACCAATTAAATGATTCAAAGTCTAATACATTTCTATCTGTAGAAAATCATTCGTTAAAATCAAGACTCGCTCAAATCAAGATCCACCTAAATCAATAAACCATTTGGTTGAATTCGAGTCTAAATAATGCAACTCGTGAGTTATATCAATTTGAACTATATCAACTTGAAATAGATTATACTCAACCGTTGATTACCCTTATTGTCTTGCACAATAGAAAGATGTGAACATAAATTATTTAGTATTGTGTCTTTAGTTAAGGATTAAAATTCAATATCTATTTTTAGATATAAAATCATAACTAAAGACATTACTTTACTTTTAATACGACCAATCCAATGAAAATTAGATAGACCTCCTAGTTAGAAAAAAAAATATTGTCTTATACTCAACAAGAAGAAAATAATAATACAGTAGAAGAATCACAATTTTTTTAACATTTATTTTATTATTGACTAAAATCTATTAGAAATTATAAATTTTGTGAGTCTCATGTTTTATTTAATGTCTTGATTTAGTGATAAAAATTACCAAATTTTATAATTCTCAACTAATAATAAAAAAGTGTTAGAAAAAAATTATAATAGGAGCATTGCTAACATTCCTCGTTACATTAATAATTCTTGACCATGATTAGCTTATAAGTTGATTAAGCAATAACAGATATTTTACTAACTCAACTATGCCCGTTTACATCGTTGAAATAAGTTATTTAGTTGGCGTGAATACAATTTAAAATCCATTTGGTGGCCATTTGGAAGCTAGCATGGACAGCTAGTGGCTAACTCATGTCAACTAACTATTAAAAAAAACTGCCCATTACAGCAACAATATTAAAAATGAAAGGGAATGAAGAGTGATATAGCCTATAAATTTAAAATCCAGATTTTTTTACATACTCGCCTAAATTTGAGAGTGTTCAACTTGGGACGTGGGAACATTAAATCACTAACGTATTGACAGGTTAAGGTTATTATTAGGAAAATAAAATTTCTTTGACAAAAGTTACTAAGTACACCATAATTAAATAAGATTGAGAGATTATTGAGTTTCTTCTTTTGCTTTCTATTTGATACACGATATTTCGTGTTAACCGATCGATGGTGACATGGTTTACATTATACAATCTCAGGTGGAAGGTCTTTCATTGCATTCTTGAGTTGGAAAATGGCCAACATGTCTCTAGCAATTTTAATTAGTTAATCGTGGCATTGAAACTCCTTTAAGCTAGTTGATCAACACATCTCAAGTCTCCACGCCAAACTATATACACTAATTTATAAAACAGTATAAAAGTCACAAATACAACTGTTTATAAAATTAAAGATTGAGTCTGTAACAATTTCATAGTTTATATGAATTTTATGATAACTAGTAACCATTGTAATGCTTGAGCAGGCATATGGAGTCTGATTTAAGAATAAAAGTAGGAGATTATTGTCCAAGGAATTTTTTTACTATTTAGTTTCGGAATTATTTATAAGAACGGGACACAAGTGATGACAAGTGTAATATAGAGACATGTTACTGGACCATTTCCATCCGCTGACTTCCTCCGCAGGTTATAGGTATTCGTAATTATTTATGATCCAACAACTTCATATATATAAATAGTGAAACGTGACCAAGTGAGATGACAATCCAACTATGAAAACGTTCCTACCATCTCTTCTATTAACAATGCTTTATGGTTTATGTTTATGATGTGTGTGAGAGATTGTTTTCTATATATTCAATAATCAACACGGAGTGAAAGCACTTCTCTTAGAACACAGAAAGAGCCATCAACAGAAGACAACCAATATATGATGGTTCAGTTAAGGAATGTTGCAATTGTTGTGGCAGTGGTTGCTGCTGCAGTGTTACAACAAAGCACAAAAGCTGAAGATTATGAGGTGGGAGGTAGCACAGGTTGGACTAGTTTTCCACCTGGTGGTGATTCTTTCTATTCCAAATGGGCTGAAAATTTTACATTCAAAGTGAAGGACACTCTAGGTGAATATCCTTGTCCTTGTAACATGCTGATAAAACATTCATGTTGTTTTAGTGGTTGATGTTTGTGATGGAATGGAACCCTTGTTTTGCAGTGTTCAATTTTGAATCTGGAAGCCACAGTGTGGTGGAACTTAGCAAGGCTAATTATGAGAAGTGTGAAGTGGATAAGAGCATCAAAGGGTATAATAGTGGACCAGCTAGAGTGAGGCTGGATCGGTCAGGGGAATTCTACTTTTCGTGCAGCTTCTCAGGCCATTGCAGCAGTGGCCAAAAGCTAAGCATTAAAGTCACTGGCTCTGGCTCTTCATCACCACCAACACCAAAGAATGCTCCAGCTGAAGCTCCTTCATCTTCAGCTTCCAATGAAGGAGACCCATCATTCCAAACTCATCCAGCTGCTACAGCCCCTCCACCCCAGGGCTCAGCCACATCTCTCACTGCTCCCTTCTCTCTATTCCTCATCACCATTGCCATCAATTTTCTCTCTCAATTTTAGCTCATTTATATTGCTTAAGGAATATCAACCCTCTCTCATACTCTTTCATTCAAATTTATTAAAAATCACAGATTTTATACATCCAATATTTCATTTAATAAGTTGTTTGATTTAGTGATGAAATCTATTAAAATTTGTGATTTTTAATTCATGCTATAGATATAAAATGAGAGAAATTGTCATTAGTATTAATATTTTTTATAATATTATGATTGATATTGGTAAAATATATATATAGAAACATCTACTTATTTTGATATTAATTTTTGATAGAGTTATTTTAATCAACAACTTATTATTTATATTAAATTTTACTATTTCAATTATTAAATTAATAATTTTTAATATATAAATTAAATTTGTAATTTTTTTTTTGTAAAATATGAAAGTTATATATTATTTCATTACATTAATTCAAATTGATATATTTTTAAAATATATCAATTTTGAATTTATATAATGAAGTATTATATAATTTATGAATTTTATAAAAATTTATAACCTGAATTTATATATTAAAAAAATTTAATAAAATATTAAAATTATTAAAATTTAATATAGTTAAATAATTCTATAAAAATTATTTCTAGAATAAGTATCCTTTCTCATTATATTATCTAATATTCACTTTCTAACGTATTTTCTTTTATTTACTGCAAATTCATGTGAATTTTATTAATTTAGAAACAGACATACATGTTTGATAGAACTGGCATGAATTTGGTTAAATAAAAGAAAATATATATAGGACAGAGGATATTAGAGAACTTAGTGTATACCAATTTCAAGGTGTTGAGTTTCCAAAATTTTGGCTTGTTAGTGTGCCCACTGAGAGGGGCTTCATTCATGGTGTGTTGATGGTACTTCAAAAAAATTGTTTCATTCGTTTTCCAGCTGCATGCATTGACGGACTTGATTGAAGATAATTATGGATGAATAAACTGATATCCTATTGTGGGTTATACCAATTCATTTTCTTTATTAATTATTCATTATTGTTCCACCAATGTCTTACTTTTCTGCTAATGAATATTCTAAGTCGAAGTTGCGTTTTTAGCAATTGGGTTTAATGTAGAAAATGGAACATGTGAACATGTCATGTTCAAATGGAGATCAGTCAACTAACATAAAATTAAAATAAAATACATGTCGGGATATTTTGACTTTGAGTTTGTTACAACTTCTAAGGTGAAGAGAATGACAGCATGCAAAAGGAATGATCTTTTCTTTTTTTCCTCTTTTCTATTTCATTCTCGTTAATAATTATGAAATACTATTTGAATTCTTTTAGATATTGATATCAGAAGTCATGAAAGTAATAAAATGATTTTTTCTCTACCACCCTAAATATTTTTCTTTTTCTCAGAATTGGAGGGCCTGAGGTAAATTTATTGATCCAAGATCCAAATTTTTAGCACAGGCTCAATTAGTTCAGCTGAAAGACTGAAAGTTAACTCAACTTTTTTGTCTTTTCTGAATTTGTTTTCATTTTTCTTTTGCTTTACTTCATCTTATTTTTTGAAAGATCGGAGTTTGGGCCGTAGGCCCAAAATATTCTTTTGTTTTATGCATTGGTCTTATCAAGCCCATTTCAACTTTTTTAATCTTTTTTTAACATTTTTTTTACAACCCAATATTTTTATTGTTAAAAACGGATTCTATGATGAAATCCTAATCATAAAAAATTATTATTATTCATTAAAGGCTTAATATATTAATTGCCGCATGTTCTTAATTTTTTTTTTTATAGATTTCTAAATAAATCTCTAAACTATAAAATTTTGTAATTAAACTTTTAATTTTCTAACTTTTGTAGTTATGTCCTTATGATTAATGGTTAGTTCACAAATTGTTAATTTTGACGGAATATCTTCTATTCTCTCCTGTGAACTTATTACAGAAATTTATAGATTAGAGATCTATTTACGCAAAACTAAAGAGTTTATGGACCTAAGAATGTATTATCACTAAATAAAACTTAGTAGTAAAAGATATATCTCGTAATTTGCACACTTAATAAATCACCTTTCAAGATTTATCTCTATCTTAAAAATTAAAAAGAATCATTGAGTCACTTATATAATATTATATGTGTGTGAAAAAGTTTAGCCAACATTCAAGAAGGACAGGGATGTTTTTGTAGTAGCATTGTAAAATTGAGGAGCGCAGGCTTAATAGGCCTAACAAGTCAAAGTCTGAATAGCAAGTCGAATTAATTTTCAAATAGGCTATAAATGTTTTGCTTTGTTTGGCTTGACACGCTTGATCAAATTAACCTATTTTATTTTTTTATTGCATAAATTTATATATTTTTATAAGAAAAAAATTGGGTAAAATAAACTCATTAACTTTTCGAGCAGTTTTTTCATGACCATATTGACCCTTTGATACATTGAGTTAGGAGAAATTTACCATATTCTTTTCAAATCTCAAAATGAAGAGCTGAGTCCTATCAAAGGGCTAAGTGAAACCAATTTTGACAACTTTAGTTTTTAAAAGTTTAAAAGGGCGTTTGATTTTTTTTTCTATATGTAATTATTTTAAAAAATATTATTCACTTCATTTCAAAAAAAAAAAATACTATAACAAAATTTTTATATAAATATTTTTTTAGTTTTAACTAGGTCCTTAATCTTTTCCAAAATTTGTAATTAGGTACCTGGGCATAAATTAACAGTTCGTAATCAGGCCATTAAATCTGAAGACCTTATTACAAAAATTCAAAAAAAAAATTGAGGACTCGATTACAACTTTTATAATTTAAAATCTATTTATTTTTTTTTTAAGTTTGATAACCAACATATGTATTAAATCTATATTAAATAATGAAAGAAAATACAACTTAAAAAAAAATCAGACCGTTAGATCTTGATTCCATAAAGTGTTATGTCCTTAAGAAGCTTGAGTTTCTTTGTTACGTTAAGAAAGACAATAAATATAAATGATAAAATAATATAAAAAAATATTTAATCTTTCAAATTTAAAATTATTATTTTTAATTTTTGTAATTTTTAAAAATTTTGTTTTAGTTCTTTTAATGACCAATAACATATATGATAATGACAAATTAAGACAATTATGCAAAATTAGTTGAATTTAATATGATATTTTTACTAATAAAAATACTAGTAAATAGAATTTATACAACAGTATTTAATAAATTACTTTATAAAATTTAAATATAAAGATTAAAATATAATTTTTTGAAATTGTAAGGACTAAAAATTTATTTTAAAATTTGAGAAATTAAAAACTTATTTAAACTTAAATAAAACATTTAAAAAGAACCACATTATTAATGTCTAAATTTAACAATTTGATCTTTATTCATTAATTTAACCATATACGAAGTTATAGAAGTGATATTGGGGTTGATTCCAGAATCATTAATTAGCTAACATCCAAGTTCATAATTCTTATGAAGATTGTGAAGCTTAATTCAATTTACAAGTATATTTCTGAGGCGAACATGATTGTGATAGGTGTGTCACACCTATGATAGATGTGTTCTTGACAAATACAAAATAGTATGAACATTAGACAATAAATATCATGTTGTGATGCTTTCTAAGCACAAATATTCATGTTTTTTTAAGCAAAAGTCATGTCACTGAGTGCCTATGATTTGTGAGTCATGCTTGTAACGCTCAATAGGCAGAAAATTCAGAACTCTTACCTTTGACAATGAATTCAATCGGTTCATGATTCATCTCGAACTTACCTACGAGTCTTAATATTTATTTTTGTTCCGGCCAAAGGGTGGACTAGGGTTTTTTCCTAGATCGTGCCTTAGAGCCAGAGCATTTAAAAGTGTAATCTGCCTTCTCAACTCTAGGGTTTTGGGTTTTATGGTGAGTTGTTCGTGGGCCTCTTGGACCCCGAGGATCAAGGGATTTTCCTAACCGTTCTTATCACGTCAATGCGGGATTAGCGGGAACGAACTTAGTCAGGATCCGACCGACAGGGCCTATACCGAAAGTCCAGCGAGGTACATGCCGAGCGGTCCCCTTGTAGGCGAGAAGAATCGAGCTTGCCAGGTCAAGTCGGGCCATGACCGAATAGGCTCGTACTGAGCCCTCCTCCGGGTTGATGCCAAAAAGGAGATCGCGGTCGCCTTATTTCCGAGTTCCCCTAAGGTGAGAAGGTTTAGGGCCTGGAGGCCTAGTCGGGTAGTTGCCGAGTGTAGGGACGTTAACACTCTATCACCATTAAGGAGATCAAGTCGGTCCATGACCGAGACGGTACACTTGCCTTCCAGCCTTGAGCCAATGATGCGAAAAGGCTAGAGCGGCTCTCTTCTTTGCGTCGCCCCAGTATTGGGCCGAGAGGGGTTGTCGGCGATCAACCGATACGGTACAATTTTATACATCAAAATTATAATGACAACACTAAGCTTCGAATACAAGAACTTGCAAATATTACCTCAATTATTTTTAAACAAGTTTACCCAAATTTTTGAAGGGTCACATAGCTGAATATCAAATACTCAATTATCAAGATTACAAAGAGTGACAAACTCAAAATTTGTTATACCACGCCGAACAAGCTAAGAATTCAATCAAATGTACATCAAGAGTTTGGGGAAAATTTCATTCTCAGGCATATAATCATTCAATACAAAAAATTTGGGGTCTAGGACCAACCCCTCTACCCATGATTAATGCCACACTCATGAGAAGGAATTTCTCACTTCTTATTTTGATAAAGAAAACTTAGTAGCAGGTTGAAACAGACTCTTCTACTTAATAGTTACGACTCCAACACTCCTTCTATGAAGGCTTTGTTGATGTTCCTACAATCACAACACGTAGATTTTTCCCAATGTGAGTGAAGACTTGGGTTTAAGATTTTATAGAAAAATGTCAATTTTCCTTTTATTGGGCTACAAACATAAAATTCACAAATAATATGTTTGGATGAGTAATTTTAAAATTTTGACATTCTTAAAATTTAAATTACTTTAATTTTAATTTTTATCATTAAAGAAAGTTTTAAGAAAAGACTTTGAATCTTATAACAAAGCCCAAACGTTATTAAAAAAAGAAATTTATATAGGTCCAATTAATTAAAAAAAACTCTATTTTTAAAATTAATATTCACGTTTTTGCAAAACATTATTTATTTAATTAATACTACATTTTATTATTTAATTAGAAAAATTTAGAATCAACCTCACACTAGTTAGTTTATATGTTCAGTGATATTGATTGACTGTGTATAAATTAACACTGGGATTAAAAATAAAAAAATAAACACCATAAAAACAAAATAAAAAATTAGTGATTAATAAAAAGGAAACTCACTTTCGAAGAAGTAATAAGATATTGACGCATTAACTTCTATATACAAGTGTGGTCTAATATTATTATTCAAATATTTTTATTTAAACACTATTTGTATAATAATGACTCATTTTAATATTTTAATTAATAATATACATTAAATAACATTTAAAATTATTATAATTATACTTAACATAAAATTTTAAATGCAAAATATATTAAATTATGGGTCCGTATGGATAAATAATTTATTTAAAATCTTATTAAATAAATTCTTATGTAATAAGAACTTATGTTATAAGTGTATAAAATTTAGTAGGTTGTTACATTTAGATATATATTAACAAACACTTATAAAATGTATTCTCATTTTAAAAATTAAAAAATTATAAATTAATTTTTGACTTGAAATAAAATAAAATAAAATAAAAATATTTTTAGTCTGTACAAAATTAGTTGGTTTTGATTTTAGTCAATGTATATATTTTTTTCTTTATTTTCCATCTCTCTAAAATTAAAATTATTGTTTTTAGTCCCTAATTTTTGTATGATCATTTTTTTTTACCTCTTTTTGTTTATTAAAAGATAAATTATTTTCCATCTCTCAAGTGTTACATATGAATATTAGTGATATGATGTTAGTGTTTGACGTGTCTAAAAATTCATATAAATCATTAAAATAACTATTATTTATCAACCTTAAAATAATTGTTATGGACAAAAATCGTAACCAAATTTTAAAGGGATAAAAAAAAAGTGTTTTATAGGGATCAAACCAAAAATTATTTATTTTATGAGAACTAAAATCAATGTTTACAAATTTTAGAAAGATGAAAAACATAGACAAAAATTTATATGAATAAAAATCAAAACTCCCTAATTTTACAAGGACTAAAAATATATTTAAGACAAATAAAAATATAAAGCAACTAAATATTTTTAAAAAATAACATTATACATAATAATAATAATACAAATTTAGTTATATATATATATAGAGGAGGTTCAAACGACACCGGTGTAACTTTTACTAAGTGTTACACCGCTTAATAACTTTATATTAAATGTGAATTTTGAAAATCCAACCGTTGGATTGAAAGTTCATATCTCTTAGACCATATATGTCAAATTGTATATTAATCTAAGATGATTTGATACTTCATTCTCATAAAACAAAATTGACGTAATATATACATTTCAAAATATACTAAAATATGAACACTTTTATTATCTTCAACTTGTTGTTCAATTTTAACAAAATTTGACATATATGGTCTAAGAGATATGAACTTTCAATCCAACGGTTGGATTTTCAAAATTCACATTTAATATAAAATTATTGAGCGGTGTAACTTTTACTAAGTGTTACACCGCTTAATAACTTTATATTAAATGTGAATTTTGAAAATCTAACCGTTGGATTGAAAGTTCATATCTATTAGATCATATATGTCAAATTTTATATTAATCTAAGATGATTTGATACTTCATTCTCATAAAACAAAATTGACGTAATATATACATTTCAAAATATACTAAAATATGAACACTTTTATTATCTTCAACTTGTTGTTCAATTTTAACAAAATTTGACATATATGATCTAAGAGATATGAACTTTCAATCCAACGGTTGGATTTTCAAAATTCACATTTAATATAAAATTATTGAGCGGTGTAACACTTAGTTAAAGTTACACCGGTGTCGTTTGAACCCTCCTCATATATATATATATATATATACTAGTATTAATTTAATATGTATATTTTAGAGGCTAAATTTTTATTATATATAACTAATTTTTTTAATAAATTATATATTCTAATAAGTACTGTATATGAATATATAAATTATATTTAAAATTTGAATAAATAAATATTTTTAAACATAAATTATATTTTTAATTTTTACAAAATATTATTTTAAAAATTAATAATTTTTTAACATGTTAAATTTAATTTATAAATAAATATAATAATAAAAAGTTGAATTTGATAAGAAGAAAAAAATAACTCGTATGTCAAATAATAGTCCCTAAAAATACACACAAGATAATTATTCATATAGAAAAAAAATAGTTTATTTTATCTTATTATTTTCTAATCTTATTCCTCCCTGAAAATAAATAATAATAATAATAATAATAATAATAAATACATAAGATCGATAAGATTAAATAAGTGCTTGGATAAACTTATCGTATCTTCATACCACAACAAACAATTAATTAAATATAATATCACTGAATAATTATTCTATTACGAGTATCTCTTATACTTTTGAATACTTAAAATTTAAACTTAATATCTCAGTTTAAACTATAATGTGCATCTATTCACGTGAGACTTGGAAGCGAAAGGAAGTTAAAAGTCGACAAGTTTTAATGTGAAAAAAGTTAAGGAAACAAGTGGACTTCAAATTTTGAATTTAAAAATAGACTACAAGGAAAAAAAGCCAAATGATTCTTAAAATTTTTGAATATTTTTTATTTAATTAATAAGTAGCTTTTTTATAATAAAAAATTAGTCAAAATTACGTGATCACGAATCACGATTAACATTTAAATAATTATGAACGAGGAAATGGCGCCTGATTGTAATCATTGAATTAGTTTATAGCTATTGGCTTTGAAGTTATTATTAATCAACCATACTTAATTAGGCGCCACAAATGCTTTCGAATTTTTATTTATTCAAACATGAATCGGCAGCTGTTGCGATAATTGATTTAATTTTTGTTTGGTGTGAACTGAAGGAGATGTTAAAAGTCAAAATATTATAAATCTTTTTAGATTAACATTTTTTTTCTTCTCAATTTTTATTATACTGAAAGAGAAAAAAGAAAATATTTTTTCCTCGTTTTCAAGTTTCTCCCTGATCAAACAAAGATAAAAATTATTTGATTTCATTTTTATAATTTTTTTTCTTATAATTTTCTCCTTATTCATTGTAATCTCTAAAGAAAATAGGCTGTCACTTGCTAACCTGACAGTTGGTGACCTTAATTTAGTTTGATTCAAAAAAGTATTTGGAATTTGGATGGAAGAAAATGGCTAAAATGACTTGATTTGTCCTCTTAGAAACATCTAAGAATGGCTGTTGGTTATGTCTGAAAGTTTGTGCAGTGTCCTTCCAAGATAGTTAGACTAATTGACAATGCAAAGCTTAAACCGTGGTTTGACTAATTCTCCATGGAAAGTGGAATTTCCCATCTTACCATGTCCACACATGCGTTAAAACGTGAATTTTCACGTTTAATCGGAAGGAGAAAATAACAATTTTTCCATAAATTAGTAAGTGAACATGGAGAGATGAAGAATTTACGTTTCAAAATTGAAACCAAACACATTCTTAGAATTTTCCTTCCAACTTCTGTGAAATAGGCCACAGGAGAATGCTTTTTCTTTGGCACCACTTTATCAATAAAAAAGTAAAAAGATGTTGAGGTATTAGAATCCACGTCCATGGCATTGGCTCGTGTAAAACAAAGGAGGTGGGACTAGCAAACGGTGCAAGTCAAATTGATTTGGTGAGATCTTAATCTCACGCGGCTATCCCATCTACTACGTTTCTGGAAGTCTCAAATCTCGGCATGCTGCAACAACACACTATTTTTGTTGACCTAACTAATAAGTAATTACAAACACCTTCACCGCCCAATACTTCAATCACATTTCAATATTTATACTTTATATACAACATTTTTCATCAATCCAACTTAAATAATGCTCTCCAAAAATGTGGCTTAATTACTTAATTAAATACCTCACATCATATTTCAACATTTATGCAACATTTTTCATCAATCTATGTTAAATAATATACTCCCTAAAAATGTGTCTTAATTAGTTAAATACCTTACAATCACATTTCAATAGTTTATATATAATATTGTTTCACCAATCCAAGTTAGATAATAGTTGTTGTGTTGTAGCTTAATTAGTTAACTATCTCAATCATTTATTTTATATCTTAATTAATTAACTATCTTGATCGATTATTTATCTTAACAATCTAATTAGAATGCGGCTTAATTAGTTAACTACCTTAATCTTTTATCTTAATAATTTCTTTTCAAAATATAAAAAAAAGGATAAAGTAAAAGTATAGGAAGTAAAAGAAAAAAAAAACTATTGTGAATAAAATCTTCTAAATACATTATTTTCAAAAATTAACTTTAAGAATTGCTCTTATATAAATAATTATTCTAATATGAAGAGAAAAAATAATAATCATTATCTGTGCCCATTTTTATAATTATTCTAATTTAAATAAAAAAATTATATTTAGAAGTTAAAAATTTTATATTCTGTTAATGTATATAAATTATTATATAAGTATAAATCTTTATCTCGTAAAAAAGAATATCTTATATTTTAGTTTAGTTGATAAATCAATCCCTTATTAAGAAAGATAATCCCTTGTCTTTTTATTGATAAATGAATCTCTTATCTCAAAAAATATTTTATTTTTATATTTATGTTAAATAATCTTTTAAATATGAAAAAAATAATGTTACGCGTGATGGTACTAACTGCTTATCCCCTGTTTCCCTATAAATAGCAACAAGAGGCATTGGCTTTCACTTCATCGGAAGCAGAGCAAGAAGCAAAAACACCCAACACACAGAATTAGTCCTACAAATAAACAGGGGCGACATACCTCCAAGAACACAGAGTCAGCCATGGCAAGGAACCTCTTCCTTGTGCTATTTGCAGTAGCCACTCTCCTCCATGGCTCCGCTGCACAGACCCGACACGTCGTCGGCGATTCCATTGGCTGGACCATCCCTTCCGGCGGCGCTGCCACCTACGCCACCTGGGCCGCCAACAAAACCTTCACCGTAGGCGACACTCTCGGTAAACAAAAAACTCACCTACGCAAACTAATTCTCTAACTTCCATGTGCTGTATGTTAATTATTATTAACATGGATCCATGACTTGTGCAGTGTTCAACTTCACTACCGGGCGACACGACGTAGCCAAGGTGACAAAATCAGCTTATGACACATGCAACGGAGTGACCACGATTTTCACTGTTTTGACGGGTCCAGCAACGGTGACCCTGAACGAGACAGGGGAACAATATTACATTTGCACCTTCGGAACGCACTGTTCCCTTGGTCAAAAACTCGCAGTCAACGTCACCAAAGCTTCCACAACTACAACCCCTTCCCCTGCGCCTGTCCCAACACCTGCACCAAAGGCTAGCCCCGTGCCCACACCAGCACCAGCACCAGCTCCAGGCCCATCCACTGGACCAGCCACTTTCATAGTGGGAGACGCCACAGGCTGGACCGTCCCTAGTGGTGGTGCTGCCTTTTACACAACCTGGGCCACTGGCAAGACCTTCAAGGTTGGAGACACCCTAGGTACGGCACCTTGGCTCTACTTATATACACTTTTGACTAGTCATTCTTTGAATTTAGTCGATGCGGGGCTTTAATTAGTATGATTTGTGTTGTGCAGTGTTCAACTACCCAGCGAGTGCACACAACGTGGAGGAGGTGACAAAGGAGAAGTTCGAGTCGTGCAACTCAACCTCTCCTATTGCAACCTACACGA